GCCAACCACCACCATCACCACCACCACGCGCTCCACGAGGCGCCCAAATTCACCGTGGAGACGCTGGAGCACACGGTCAACAACGACTCCGAGATATGGGGGCTCCTGCAGCCTTACCAGCACCTCATCTGCGGGAAGAACGCCAGCGGTAAGTGACCGCACGGGTGCCTCCCTCTCCTCCTCTACCCGGCCAACAAGCATTGCAAGTTTGCTTCCTGACCCCCTCCCGCGTCCGTCTGGCCGCCCACTGTTGTCTCAAGCCTCTAAGGGGACAACCGAGCTGGAGGCGGCCAGAAACCCGTCTGATTCCTCCTACTTTGGGGATCCGCGTACTTTACGCCGCTGGTGGGGTCCCAAGTCCGAGAGTGCGAGGTTCCGCCCCGAATGCGGCGGCTGCCTCCTACAGGCAGTGGGAAGAACCCAACACCAGTTTTGGGGGGCAGATTTGCAATCAGTTGCGCTTAGTACATATTTCTGTCAGAACCCTGTGGGGTTTTTTTTTTTTTTTGACCTTGAAGATGCCAAATATACGTGTGCACGAGTTTGGAACTCGGGAGAAGATCATTCCTCCCTCAGCCTCCGAGTTCGTGTACTTCCCCGCGCCCTCGGGGACACTGTCGGTGCGCGGGTGAAGCAGCAGCCCCGCGGCGGTAAACGCAGAATGTTTGAGAACTCCCTCGACCTAAAAAGAGACGGGGAGAGGTGTGGGTGGTGAGAGGGTGGAGTGGGAAGATTTACAAGTCCCAGGTTTTTCCGGGGCAATTTTTAAGGGCTAGAGCGCACAGCTTGTGGGTGCTGTGCAACGGACAGACCCCCAGATTCCGACCTTCCAGCTCTCGCCGCGGTCGGTTGTCAGGGGGCTGTCATCACTTGGCTTAAGGAGCGCCACTAGGGACCTGGTCAGGATGGGAGTGGGGCGGGGTTCTAGACGGATTGTCAGTTTAGGACGTCGTTTGCAGCAGGTTCTGTCATTCCCTCCCGCACCCCTGTTTTTAAGGCCGGCGCTGGGTGGCTTTGAGCCTGCAGTTCTGGCTGAGGAGGGAGTGGGGCTGGGAGGGCTTGTTTTCGAGAACTGGAGCTGGCGGTCCTGCTTGTCTGTGAAAGACGGAGCTAGACACTTCAAAGCTTCAATTTCCCCCAGGAAATGGTAGAAGCGTAACTGGAGACTCCAAAAGCGAAATAAAACTTTGTTACATATTCAGCGGTTTGGCTGGAGGTTGCGTGGTTGGAGCTGAAATGCAGTCTTTCTGGGCAGATTTCATTCATGTTGCTGCCTGTCGGTTTCCCCAGGGCTGAAGCAGAGATGCAGCGGGCGCGGCCCGACCTCTAGGGGTGCCAAGTGTGTGCATGGGAGTGTGTGCGTATTTGTGAGTCTGTGGTGAGCGCGTCCGTGCGTGTGTATGTAAGTGTGTCTGTGAGTGTGCGCAGAAGCGAGCAGCTCAAGCAGAAGCCCTTAGGAAACCGAACCTCCAGCTATCCGTCTCCTCACCTGGCTTTGATCATAGCTGGAGGAGGGGAAGGAAGAAGCAAAGCGTGTGTGTGTGTGTGTGTGTGTGTGTGTAGTGGGGACAGAATGGCGACTTCCGCGTTGATCGCCAAGACTCCTCCGGCCTCTTTGCCAGAGCCCTTCCCCCTCTGCTGCCAGTCAAGGGCGCAACATTTAAACGGAGGGTACCTGTTAGGCTTCCCATGCCCTCCCACCTCCACTGGTGAAATCCTGATGAGATGGAAACATCTGCGAGAAGGCATTGGTCTTTGTGTGAGCTTCTTCTGGAGGCAGAGGAGGATTCACCTGCAAACCCTAGAAGCTTTGGACTGGGTAGTTCTTTGTTTGAAACCCTACCCTAAGAAAAATGCACGAGACTTAATTTCTTCCCACCATGTGAGGGAGATGACCCTCATTACAGGGGCTCTTTGCCATTCTCTTGAAGTTATGACTCTGGGTGAGTCACTCCTTTTCTGAGCCTCAGTCTCCTCATCTGTAAAATAAGGGTCTAGATCTGTGAGACACCCCCAAGTCCTGTGGTAGCTCTGTCTGTGTTAGTAGCCTGTATATTTTTTCAAACTGGTTTTACTTTTATGATCTTTAACATCTTTTAAAAACCATTTTTGTGTTTATCCTTTTGGGAATAAGTATAATTTGAGGAAGGAGGAGACCACAGAGCTGGTTTGGGGTAGGGTGAGTGTGTGGTGGTTGGGGTTTGCTGCCATCACAGAATTCCCCACACCACAGAGCTTAACTCTTGGGTTTCAGGGCCCCTTCAGCCATCTCTTATTATGAAATATACTGTAATTTCATTGTGATCCCTTCATCTCTTTTCCTTGGGCTTGTTTAAAATGGCAGGAAGAGGTAAGGAATGAGCAATTAATTTCTTAGATGTCTGAAACATACATTAAACATCAAACCTATTTCTTCAACTGTATTGCGTGACAGTCCTTCTGATCTGCAAGGCTTATTAAGGAGTCCATGCCTTACATAATCTCCCCCTCCACCTTAACTCAGTAGCATCACTTATTAATTCATTTGTGAATTCATTTGTTCATCACTATTTATTGAACAGTTACTAAATATAGGGGCTGAGCAGGTACTGAGGTACAGAGCTAATAACAGCTAACACACATCCTACACTACTCTGTATATTGACCCATTTAATCTTCAACATTCCCTTGAAAAATTACTACTCTTACCACCATTATACAGAGGAGGAAACTGAGGTGAAAGGAGCTTAACTGTCTTGCTCTTTAGTGACAGATGAGTTCCCTGCCTTCAGGCCATCCTACCTTCATTACCTACATAGCGGAACTGAGGCCCTTCATAGCTTGACAGTTTTTCTATCCTAATTTATACACCTTTTGTTCCTATGAAGCTGAACTGGGCAGTACTGGATTTTATGTTTTTATATCCTCTGTCAAGTCTAAGAGAGGGCCTGGTACCCAGTTGGAGCTCATTAGATGCCTACTGAGTTGAGCAAGCTATTGTGTAATATTATACAATGACACCCAGAAAGAAACAATTGAATTCTGAGTTCCTTGAATCACCTTTTTAAGTCTTTCTACCTTGGTTACCCCTTCTTACTGCCGTCTCTGCACCTGTTCACTTTTCTAATTTGCAGCTTCTAAGGCCCGAGGAATCATGAAATGGATCACATGGGCCTCAACTCAGAAAACAAAAGATAATTGACTCTAAGTGTGGGTTTGGTGGCTCTTAAGAATCACACATATGCACTTAGGGAATGAACTCTGTGGTGACTGTCTTATTCTTCAGAGCTGGTTTTTTTCTTATGTTGATTTTCAGCTGTTTTAAAGAGCTGAGGTAACAGCTAAGAGACTTCAGTGAGTGTTGCATTTCTGTGGGGTTTTTAAAATTTGGCTTAATTGATTTTGCTAAAATTAAATAAGGAGCAGGCAGAAGTGCTTCATCACACCATTATCTATGCTAGTCATTTTATCTTAAACCCCTTCAGAGCTTGCCAGTTCCCACTCATTCTTGAAGACTTGGCTCAGGAATAATCTTTCTGGCATCTCTTTGAGACCTTTCTTGATGCAATCCTTCTCCTCTTCCCCAAACCTAGGCCTTACACAGCCCTTTCCTCATCCCTGGGGAATCCTGACCCTCAGAACTTGCTCCAAGTGACTCCCATCACACTGTGACATCTCCAGTGTAAGATCATATCTTAATCATCTTTGTGTCTCCCTCATTATCACTTAGCACAGCACCCAGCTCTTAGTAGATACTAAGTCCTGTTTGTTGAATAACTGGCCCAGTAAATCTTTAAGACATAAAATTTACCCAGCAATGTCTGTAATCAACATCTGAAAAGGTCTCTAAAGTCAGAACTCCTGGATTTGAATTTCAAGGATGCCATTTTTCTAGCTGTATGTTCTTAGGTGTGTTACTTAACCTCTTTGAGCCTCAGTTTCCTCCACTGTAAATAAGAGG